TAAATTTTATTTTTATTATTATACTTTAAGTTGTAGGGTACATGTGCATAACGTGCAGGTTTGTTACATATGTATACTTGTGCCATGTTGGTGTGCTGCACCCATCAACTCGGTCATTCTAACATCCTCAGGTATAACTCCCAATGCAATCCCTCCCCCCTCCCCCTCCCCCAAATGATAGGCCCCGGTGTGTGAATGTTCCCCTTCCTTGAGTCAAGTGATCCTCATTGTTCAGTTCCCACCTGATGAGTGACGAACATGCGGTGTTTGGTTTTGTGTGTTCTTGTTGATAGTCTTGCTAAGAATGATGGTTTCCCAGCTGCATCCCATGTCCCTACCAAAGGACACAACACTCATCCCTTTTTTATGGCTGCATAGTATTCCAAATGAGTGCTTATATGTGCCACATTTTTCTTAATCCAACGTCTGTTCCACTGATAGGACATGTTGGGTTGATTCCAAAAGTCTTTGCTAATTGGTGAATAGTGCTGCAAACAACACTACGTGTGCATGTGCTCTTTATAGCAGCATCCAATATTATCAACATCCTTTGGGTATATACCCAGTAATGGGAATGGGCTGGAGCTCATAGTGGTACATCTACTTCTAAGTCCTTGAGGAATCGCGCAATACTGTTTTTCCATAATGGTTGAACTTAGTTTACATCCCCAACAGTGTAAAAGTGTTCACTACTTTCCTCCACATCCTCTCCAAGCACCTGTTGTTTCCCTGACTTTTTAAAGATCGCCATTCTAACTGGTGTGAGCATGGTAGTTCATTGTGGTCGTTTTGAGTTTGGCATTTCTCTGATGGGCCAGTGATGATGAAGCATTTTTTCATGTGTCTGTTGGCTGTATGAATCGTTTCTTCTTGAGAAAAATGTTCTGATTCATATGCCCTTGCCCACTTTTGATGGGGTTGTTTGTTTTTTTCTTGTAAATTTGTTTGATTTCTTTGTAGGTCTGGACATTAGCCCTTGTCAGATGAGTAGATTGCAAAAATTTTCTCCCATCCTCCTGTAGGTTGCTGTTACTCTGATGGTATTTCTTTTGCTGTAGCAGGTCCAATGGAAACAGGGATTTTTTAGGATCAAGAATTCAGAAATGAATCTTAAAATGTTTTTGAATGGTTGCTCAGTCTAGCATTTGTTTAGCTCTGAACTGTCCAATACAATAACCATTAGCTGCATGTGGCTATTTAAATTTAAACTAAAATTAGGCAACATTAAAGAGTCAGTTTATCATTCACCCTCACCACATTTTAAGTGCTCAACAGCCACATGTGTTTGGTAGCTGCCATATTGGAGAACATAGATATAACACATTTGTATCACTGCAGAAAGTTTTATTGGACACTGCTGGTCTAGATGTTCAACTTCCTAGTGAAATTTTTTAAGGTTCATCTTTTCCTCTCAAGTTCATTTCTGAAGTTCTCAGATCGCTGTTCTCAGAAATGAAGTGTCTTTTCTGTCTCTCAGAACACCCTATGTTGGTAGGCAGTAGCTGTTAACAGTCCAATTCTTGGGCCAGAGCCACCACTTGGGTGCTCATTTGGGTGTTGTGCAACAGCAGAGCCTGAAGTGTGCTCTGCATTCCTCAGAGGCTTAGAATTGGCCTTGATTCAGCTGTCAGTGAGGTGCTGTCAGAGACATTCTAAAAAGCCATGCAGAGAAGGGGAAGTATAGGAAAGAAGGATTAAGAGGTTGTTTATCAGTAACCTAGAGGGATGTAAATACATTTAATCATTCCAGGATAGAGCTATCTTTTTAATCATTCAATCCAAAACAAGGAGGAATGCTATGAAAGTATTTTTCTCAATTTAGTATGTCCTTATAGATACCTACTATATTTAAAATCCTGTGTGGCATTTTAGATAAAGGATTAGGAGGATTCGTCTCCATTTCTTATATTTTTTAACCGAGTTTTCTTTGTACACATCTTCCCAAAAAATGTATTTATTGGGTTAAAAATTAGTTTTCATTCCCCACACATGACAACATAGAAATCTACAAGTAATTCAAATAGAGACATTGTAATCACAGATTAAATTGTCTCAGGGAGAGACATAATTTTCTAAAGAATAAAGATAAAATTAAAGTTGTTTTGTTTTTGTTTTTGTTTTTTTAGTAGAGATAGGGTGTCTCTCTGTCACCCAGGCTGGAGCATAGTGGCATGATCATAGCCCACTGCAGCCTCGAACTTCTGAACTCAAGTGAGTCTCCCACCTCAGCCTCCTGAGTAGCTGGGAATACAGGTGCACACCACCACACCCAACTAATTTTTTACATTTTAAAATTTTTTGTAGATATGGAGGTCTCACCATCTTGTCCAGGTGGGTCTCTAACTCCTGGGATCAAGCAATCCTCCCACCAAAATTTAAGGCCAGGTATGGTGGTTCACACCCGTAATCATAGCACTTTGAGAAGTTGAGGCAGGATCTCTTGAGCCCAGGAGTTTGAGACCAGCCTGAGCAATGTAGTGAGACTCCATCTCTACCAAAAAAAAATTATAAATAAGTAAAGGTCTAGTTTCAAAATAGTGCCACCACCCTTTAACAAGGTCTTTGTAAGGAAAGGCAGAGATCAATTGTTCATATGGGTTTCATAGTGAATGTGTATGCATTCATATGATTTCTTTTTCCCCCATCCCAATCCAAAAAGGTGCCACCTGACTGGGAGAGAGCATCCTTCCAACAGGCCAGTCAGGCCAGCCCTGATTTAAAGCCAAGTCCACAAAATGGAGCCACATTCCCATCCTCTGGAGGATATGGCCAGGGGTCGCTGATAGCTGATGAGGAGTCCCAGGAGTTTGATGATTTGATATTTGCATTGAAAACTGGTATGTATGAACCCATGAACCACATTACAAGGAGGCACTCTTGCTATGTTAGAATTTATATTTTCTTCCCATGAAGTTGCAAAGTACTATCAGTCACCCTTAGCACATCCTGATTCTCATGACCCATTCCTAATCCCGGGAAAACTCTAGGATATTTTGTTCTTGGCACAAAATATAAGACAACCTAAAAATAATTTACAACTTGCTTTCAAAAAAGGCGTACTCTAACTAAATGTAAATATCCCTGTCCTGGAATCTTGCTAGAACACCAAGATACTATTAAGTTTGCTATAGACAGTTGATAGGGATCTCACTGAGGGAGTTTTGCCGCTGGCCTGCCAAAGAGACCTTCTTATGGAGTTCCTTTGAAGCAGAAACTTTCAAAGGCAACATAATGAGCATGGTATAATTTTCAAGGGCTATCACATACAATAATTCTTTGACTCTCCTATATATTCAGTCCCACTCAACTTTGAGACCCCAGGGCTAGAATTACAATTATAATTGAATTGTGCAATTACAATTGAATCTTACAGTTCAAGATGAGATTTTGGGTGGGGACACAGCCAAATCATATCACTATAGAAAGGAATAAGAACTCAACCCTATACTCACATTAGTGCTTAGAATAACCTTTGCTAGATATTGTTGAATGCTGAGTGAGTGGATGAATTTGAACAATGAAGCTTAGAGTTTGCTAGGAAAAATAGGCATTCACACAAACATGACATAAGAAAGAATAAAGTAATGGAGAGAGTTATAAATGACAGAGGAGATGAAGAGGTAACAGAAAATTCTCTATGAATTCTTGAAGGATGTACAGGTTTTAAACAAGTAAAGAATGGAGGAAAGGGCATTAGGAACTGAGAGAATAGAATTAGCAGGAGCCCAGAGGCTTAACGGCATGTGGCCTCTTTTAGAACCAGTGCTGCTGTGGCAGGAGCAGAGAGTGAGAGAAGCCAGGCAGCAGAAGGCAGGCCTGACAGGTAGCTTGCCGGCACCATCGATTGTCTACTAGAGTTCCCCAGCTGGGTTTCAGCAAATACCCGCCCTTAGCTATTCATAGTCATTCCTCAGTGGGAGGATCCCTGACCCAGTATATTTGAGAAATTGCAGAGATTCACAATTCACATTAGCATTTTAGCAGCTCTGAAATGTTCCAGACAAAGAAAACCCATTTTGCTTAATTTAACCTGGTCTTTCCAGAACACTAGCAATACATTCATTTTGGGGGAGCAGAACACTCACGGATAACTTTGCGTAATATTAAAATGCTATTCGGACGCCATGGTAAGGAGTGAGAGTTTTATAGAGCATAGTGAGCCATGTAGGCTTTGGAGAAAAGGAATGGCATGTTCCTATTGGTTTTGAGGCAAAATAACTCTTATGAAAGTATGAAGAAATAAATTTAGAAGCAACATCACAAAGGCTGGGAGGTTATTACAGTGTTCCAAAAGAATGAGGTTAAGGCCTCAAATCTGGAGAGTGGAAATAAAAATGAGAAGATGAGCTTCCCAACAAGAGGAATGCTGAGGAAAAACTGAGGGACAGTCTTCCAAAGCTCATGCTTCTCACCACGATGGCTGACTGAAGGAAAAGTATATAGAGCATTTGTTTGTTTATGCTAATAAACAAATAGATTTGGTTCAGCCAACATGCAGGAGAAAACTGATAAGTTTAGATGTCGACATCAGGCCTGGTGGCTCCTACATATTCAGGTTTGGATCTTAAGTGAGGGACCAGGGCAAAAGGGAATGATTTGAAATGCATCAGCACAGAGACTATATTTGAAGCTATGGAGATGAACAAAGGTTGATCTGGGAGAATGGAAGGAGAGAGAAGAGAAGAAAGGAAAAGAGATGAGGAAGTCAGGGGAGAAGAAGGAAGGGAAACAAGAATATTGTAGATAATACCAACATTTAAAGAGTGAATTAGAAGACAGTCTCACAAAGAAACTGTAGCAAGTTCAGAAAGAAAACCAAAGAGGAAGGAGTTTCAGGAAGTAAGAAATGATTGGCTGGATAAAACGTTCCTTAGGCCGGGCGCGGTGGCTCAAGCTTGTAATCCCAGCACTTTGGGAGGCCGAGGCGGGTGGATCACGGGGTCAGGAGATCGAGACTATCCTGGTTAACATGGTGAAACCCCGTCTCTACTAAAAATACAAAAAACTAGCTGGGTGTGGTGGCGGGCGCCTGTAGTCTCAGCTACTTGGGAGGCTGAGGCGGGAGAATGGCATGAACCCGGGAGGCGGAGCTTGCAGTGAGCCGAGATCACGCCACTGCACTCCAGCCTGGGAGCACAGCGAGACTCCGTCTCAAAAAAAAAAAAAAAAAAAAAAAAAAAAACGTTCCTTAAAGTCAGGGCTGAAAAGGGACTTTCAGACTACAAGTTGTTCTCAGGGCAGATTATGTCCTCACTGCTACAGTGTCATCAGTTGTTGAAGTTATGACACCGGAAACATAAAGTGAATTCTTGGAACATAATTAAATTAGATCTATATTACATTACATCTTATATTTATATAACAACTATGAAGTGCATTCGGTTCTAGAATGTAAGGAATGTCTTGCTTACTTATAGATTTGGTTCAGCATTCCTTTAGAGTTCCCTGAACTCACTAGGAAATAAATACTTTAAAAGACCAAAATAAAAATCTCTAACACTTGGTTCCCTATATTTTTAGAAAAAGTACTGTAGTAATCAAGTATCAGCCACTGGACACTTTCCCTTCTAGAATATGGTCAAATAAAGGATCAGTCTACATGCCATTCCGTCTACAGCAGTTATAATTGACTCATAAGGCCAGATTCAGCCCAACAAAGTGCTTTGCTTGATCCATATAACATCTTAACATTTTTTAAGCCAATATTAAAAATTTAGAGCTATTTTCTAAAAATGTAGAATTTCTAGAAAAATCTAGCAAGAGTCTTTGAAGTCCAGCACAGCACTGCTTGCTTGGAACTGAGTAGTAGCAGCCCCTTTGGACATGAGCTCTTCCATTTTCTAGTGCCTACTGGGCCCATGTCACTGGTTTATGAAAACCTCCTTGGCCGCTAGGACATTTGAGTTTGCAAACCTTGATCTCTCTCAGGTCCACCTTCACTATGGCCCACTCCAAGTCAAGTACTGAAACAGTGGGTCTTCCATGTCTCTTTCATTTGAACCCCTAAACAACTTGTCAAAGCTATGGAGCCTTTTGCATATGTTTAAAAAGTTTTTCACAATCAGTTTAAATAGTATCAAATAATGTAATTTCCACTGTATCATACATTTTGGTGTTTGAAAATAAAAATTTTACATTATTTTTTTAAACTAACCCAAAGGCTCTTTGCTAACTACCTTAGCAATGTAATATCTAGTTATTCATTCTTTAAATATATGAACAGGCTTTTTTTAATAATTGGAAATTTGACATCACTTTCTTTTCTCCTTGAACTTATATTTCCATTCTACTTTCTCCATGGAATTTTATCCTACTATAATATATTTCATACTTACAATTCATTTTACTCATATTTCTCTCCAACAGAACATGTTTTTAAATTAGAACTTCATTTTTTTCTGTGGCCATAAGACTCTAAGGTGTTCAAAATTTCTTTTATATTGTGACCATCACAATTATTCCTAGTGTACAGTTCAGCATATCAACATGAGTAACAGAAACGTCTGTTTTGGTAAATGATTGCAAAAATGAAAAAGACTAATCAGAATAATAGATATGGAAATTCAACATCTGGGAATGTATTCCTTTAAAGCTGTCCTTCCCATATCACCTTGTACTCCTTGAAAAGGAATCATGTACCACAAGTTAAAGGAATCCCAGCCTGAAGACTTCTACTGCAGGTGCTTTACATCCTGCAGAGGCATTGACCTGGAGTGATGTGCAGCATTAGATTATGAGGAGGGGCGGCCAGCTCCCACATTCACCACTGACTTGAGCCAAATCGTTAACCACCTCTTCTCACCTATAAAAATCCTACATTGCAAAGATTTCCGTATTCTCAAATAACAGTTTCTACCATGTATCTGATAATTTTCTACTTGAGATTATGTGACAGTGAGCCACCAATTTCTGCCCATGTCCTAGGCTTTCTGGCAGGCCTCCAATCTATCCTTACATCTGCAACCAACCTTAGAGAACACTGTAAATTTAAGGCAAAAATGGGCCTTTGGCATTCAACAGCCATTGTTTTTAACCTCCTCCTTTCTTAGCTATAGCATCATTCATAATAAAGTTTTCTATAAACAGGTAAAAGATAAAAGCTTTTTCTGTGGTTTTTACATCTTAATAGAAAACTCTTAAAAACCAAAACCTACAAGGTGGAAAAAAGTTCATTTTTAATTGTGGGACTTCAGGCACTGTGGTAGTATCAGATGAAAAGTTATTTGTCTATCCTTCTCAAATTGTACCACCTGTTAATCAGGTTTGTTCTATGTACTTCCCTTACCCTAATATCCTGCACTAAAATATGTGTCGGAGAGTATGTAGGAATCAAGACAGAGGTTAATAAGTCACAAATGAGCAAGTAGGTCACAAGAATAGGAAGCATGGTCCATCCAATGCAAATTCCACATAGAAGCAGGAAGGGTGGCCAGATGAACATGTAGAAATAAGAATCTGGCCTAGTCCTGGGCCAGAGTTTATGTTCTGAAAAACCGGGATTCATCTCAGTATCCCTGGATATGTAACAGTGCTGAGTATCTCAGTTGATGCTCCATATTGGATGGATGGATGGATGGGATTCAGGAAGAGTGACTAGGCCTTTCAATAGCCACTGATACTATTTCCTGTGCCCTTTTAATCTCCCTTAGAATTCATCATCTTTCAGTTAGGAATAATGTTCAGATATTCAAGCACATACTAAAATGCTTGTATTAATTCAGTAGGTAGAATGCCTTTACTGAGTGCAATAGAGAGAATTTAATGTCAGAATGCCATAATAAGGGGCAAGCAGGAGAGCTAACACTCTTTAGCTAAGACATTCTCTTTTTAATTATGTTAAGATTAACTGTGAGAAAGACTATATCTCTAAAGGAGAAAGCTTAAGTAGTCAGTTTCCAGACTAAAAAACATCATCACTTCTTTACAAGCATTTACAAATGTGTCAGCAGACTCCAAATTCATGTTTAATAGCTGCAAATGAATTCTGATGTGAGCAAGACAATGTTTTTGAAGCCACTGTGTTAGTGCATACTTAGTCGCATACTTCAAACTTATATTAAAGGCAAGTATATTAAAATTGTTTGATCTAAAGTAGAAACCCTGGCCCATAAACCAGTCATGGACTTCTTTTTCAATCTAATTTTAGCCATATTACATTTTTTAAAATTTAGAAAAAAACACTATTGACATTTCTAATTTTTAAGTTAAAATATTCGACTTTCTATGAGAAATCCACATTTCACTCTAAAAAAAGATGACATAATGTCTTTCAATTATTTGTTCTTGAAGTACATCAGCACTTCCACAGGTAAGTGAGACACTGAGTTCTAGACTAGTGGTATCCTGATTATTATTTTTTTGTTTGTTTGTTTGTTTTAATAGAGCTGAGTAATGTATCATCAGTGTCCCCAAGACTTTAGGAGAATGGGAACAGTCACCCTGGGACAGCCTCCATTTTAGGGAAGAGGAGAAAGTTCCAAGCAAACTAGTACAGAGACTCAGGGTGAGGGTAGGATGGAAAGGAATGTCTCTATTTACGTTCTTAACAAGGTGTGCCTTGAGTGCTGGCATTTCTGTGTTGATCCCAAGTTGACAAGATTCCTGAAAATGTCAAGCTTAGAACATATTGGGCTTAGAAAGGAGTCTTTCTTCAGCGGGGGCTTCTCCCAGAATGACTAACCTGATTCCCCACCATCCCCAGCCCCCTGGCTTCCTGGTGTTATCCCAGGCCGATGACATCAATGTCATGGTAAACATTTCCCTATCAGAAACCTAGACATGATTTATTTTTCAGTTAGAAGAAAATAGATGACAAGTCCTTGAACACAAATGAAAACATTCAGAATCAAGGCCCAAAATACTCAAACCTCTCCAAGAACTCATCAATAAATTTCTCTTTGCAAGATATCACATCAAACCACAATGACTTATTTAACTTCAAGAAATTCTGCAGCCCAGTGTAGTAAACAAAGTTAGGTGAGAATCAAAATGGAAAAGTGGAATTTTGAAAGATTTTGATTTTTTTCCTCAGAAAAAGATGGAAAGGGTATGGTCTTTAGATCATTGTCACATTGATCATTGTCACAGAGGCCACTCAACTAGCACCTCTCATCCTCACTCAGTCCCTGCATCTGTAAAACAGGACTGATAGTCACCCTATCCTAACCAAAGTATATTAAAATGTTAAGAAAAGTGAAGCTCATGATGAATGTAAATTATTAGTTTTAGTTCCTTTATGATTGCCTGTTCTATCGACCAAAGGAAAGTGTCCCTGTTACCACAGTCGCTGGATTTTTCTTAAACTTTTGGTTTGAAATTTAAGCATGGAAACACCTTTCAGAAAATCAGGATACTTACTGCAAACTACCCGCCTATATCATTTAATGAATTGCAAAGAGATGGGAGACCTGGTTTGTGCTCCCAGGTCTCAGCTTGTTATACTTGTGTGTAATATATGCCTTTTCTGAGTCTCAGTGAGGGATGAGAATTTGGATATTTGTGCATTTCTTTGAACTGGGAAGAAACTGCAAAAGATGATGAGGTGGGTCAGGTAGATGTGGTGACTCAAGAGGAGTCTAGAACTTGCTTACATATCTTGAGTTGCTAAACAAGCTCAGCATGCTTGCAGTAAGGTAGAGCTTGTCTTTCTAGTGTGCTTTGTCCCAGGTGTCATCACACGCTTTATGATGATATTCCTAGTGGGATCTAGAGTGGGCAGACACTGAAATCACTGGGAGTTGGTACTAGTTAAACGATTTGGCCTCAGTCTTCCCTGAGGCTAATCTTGGAGTCCTCTCTGTTCCTCCCTAGTGCTTCCATATTTAGCTCTTCCTTGCTACAGGCTCCAGGGCCTTAGTAACCTCCTTATAGAATGGCCACTATCTTACAATTCACTGAGGTTCTTCCAAATAACACAGTTCTCCTGTTCACAGCAGAGAAACGTGGGCCATTTGTCCTTCGAAGGCCTGGAAGTAGACACAAATGTTACCTTCAGGGGCCAAGCATTATTTATGGTATTCCATAAATGATTGAAGAGGGCTGGGTGAAAACAGAGACAAACTGAAGGACTGCCTGGTCCATGGGTTTTTTTGTTGTTGTTTTTTGTTTGTTTTGTAATGCAGAAATGCAGGCCCAGTGTTGCCTGATCTTCTGGTTGTTTTTTTGTTTGTTTTTGTTTTTGTTTTTTCAAGAGAAACCAGAAATCTGATTTTTTTATGTGAAATTGTTAAATTTTAGCAACGTACTAAATTTTTAAAAATACATTGTCATTGGCAATATTCCGGTTCTTGAAGAAAAGAGTTTATGGGTGTTTGTTAAGCGTTTTACTTTATGGCTTATGTATATGTTATAGATAGGAGTATTATTAAATTTATCATCGAAACCTGGGCAGTGTGAGAGAATAAAGGGGACGTGATTAATGATTTTGTCAGGGATGAGAACTTTTCACATTTTATGTCCTCCAGCTCCCTATTTTCATAAGATGGAAAAGTAAGTATCTGTAAAAAGGTATAGAGATGGCCTTGATGGACAGGCAGGAAGACACTCAGGCTGGAATTAACATGCTGCATTCAGGGCATCAGGAGACCTGATCAGTTTCAGAGAAAGCTCTCCAAAAGGCAATGGTTGGGATGCATCTATTTGATAGGCTAGAGACTGATTTGATAGGCTAGAGACTGATTTGAGAGCCAAAGCAGAAGGTTCCCAACTCAGTGCAACTGGCAATAGGAACTAACATTTGTTCTTGAGAAGGAGAGGGCAGCGGAATACAGAACAGACCAGAGGAACAGAACAGGAGATGAGATGGAACAGGCAGGTTCACGACTTAGGATGCAGAGCACAGTTTATTACTACATTCAGCAGACATTTACTGAACACCTGCAGTGTACTGAGCTAGGAGACAAAGATAGGAAGGACATAATCCAGTGGGGGAATCAGAAATTTTAAAAGAGAATCATCCTGTTTCAAGGGGTAGCAGGGTTGATACTGGTAGGAAGAGTGGAGGCAGCCACATGAAGGAGGTGGGAAGTGAGAAGAGCACCCCAGGCAGAGGTGCCAAAATAAGAACGTGGTGTGAAAAGGCAGTGACCTGCTGCTCCATGTCCTGAGCTTGGAAACCCTAGTGAGACATTAGGAGAGAATGCAGGCAAGAGGATCCTGCAGGCCTTGAGGCAGGGCAGAAGACAGGGCCTCCAGAAATGAGGCAGCAGGAGGAAATGTATGAGAAAGCAGAAGGGGTCTAGAAAGAGCCAGCAGATCAGAGGATGAGATGGGCAAGTACCATGTCACAGAAGCAAAGGGAGGAAGTGGAGTTTCAACAGTGGCCTTTAACAGAGAGAGTGCAAAAGTCAGAGACCCAGAAGAAGAAGAGCTTGGCTAGAAGGTCACTAGTAGGCTCTGGCTTCCATCTCCAGACAGGCTAAGATTAAGCTAATTCACCATTTTCCCACAACTATCAACTCTGCAGAATTGCCTTTTCTTCATCTCAGAAAGGGAAATCCCAGCTGCCTAAGCAACCGGCTTTTCACTTTCCTCCTTGTTTGCAGAGTCTAGTGGGGCTGGCCTGGTAACCTCTGGTGATTCATCCAGCACGCCCTATGACCACATCCCCATTGTGTGTGTGTGTAGAGAGGATGAGAGTTAGTGTGTTCCTCTGAACTGTATTACAAAAGAAAAGAACATTGTTCTCTAGAAATATGAAAGAAAAAAGAACAAGGTGTTACTCTAGCATAGTTTTAAGTTTTCTCAATTATCTGAGTTGTAAAAAACAAAACAACAACAAAAAAAAAAACAAAACAAAGTAGCAAATAGTGGAGCTTCCTCAAAACAGGTTCTGAGCACTGTCAGTAGTTAACTGCTGTGGTGGAATTCCTGTGTGGATCTATTTTGGCACTGTGTTATGTAATTATTTTTATCTTAGGATCAGATCTGAATCATTCAGAGCCAATGTCTTCAGGGCACTGGTGTGACTCCAGGTGTTCTCACATACCTGTCTTTCTTCTCAGATCACTGCCCAACACTGAATCTCAAGTGATGGACCTCAGTGCATATGAGCTCGGGGCCTATATGTTTTGTAACAGCAAATCCTACCCCACTGGTGAAAAAGTCTAATAACCTGACTGGTTTCCTATTTGGATGAGACCCCCATTGAGAGATTATATTCTGATAGTAGGTTACACCTGTCCACCATGTGGAAACAAACAATAAAGATTGAGAACCCAAATGTGTGTCTTTAGAAATTAATCTGTACATTTTAAAAAACTATCAAAGGAAACGTAAAAGATAGTTTCATAATTGTTAGGTATTAATCATATCTATTCTAAATGCATAGCTTATTTTTTACTAATATAATAGAAATAAAAAGAATTGACCTAATGTAAATTGATTCTTAAGAATGCACTGCATTAATAGTTTGGATTTTTGTGTTCATTCTATTTCTGTGGCAGGTGCTGGTCTCAGTGTCAGTGACAATGAATCTGGTCAAGGCAGCCAGGAGGGGGGCACCTTGACTGACTCCCAGATCGTGGAGCTCAGGAGGATACCCATCGCCGACACTCACCTCTAGCACCTCACTAACCATTCGACTGAGCCCACTTTCATATTTGTATCAGCTTTTGTGCTAAAACTCTCTAAGTACATCCACCTGTGTAATAGGAACCTGTGAATTGTACTGGATGATTAACACAAAAGTGACTGTTGTATTTGGAGTATAAATTACTGATTGTGTGTGACCTGAAAATTCACTGCTATAAGAAAGATGGAGTCAGTTTGTATCAGTTAATAGGATGTTCATATTCCAAGAATGTTAGTTGTTTTTTTAAATCATTCCTATATGGCTAACATTGTTTAATGAAAGTAATGCTCAATAAAGCAATAGAATCTATTTGGTATCATCCAGCTTCATTTTTCATAAAGAAACATTGTGCATAGGCAAAAAAAGCTAACTCTATATGTAGATGATGACAGGCACCCTGTGCCATCTTGCATGAATCCAGGTGATCCAGAATCAAGACTTCACTGCAGCTAGAAGACTTTAGTTCCTGAAAACTGTAAACTGGTCTGTCTGTTGATGATCCTGCACCTAAATGTTGATGGGAGTACTGAATTTGGCCTAGTCTTTCAACAGTATGTATTTCTGCTCATTATAAAATTAGGGATCTGAACACTTCTCAGAATGAACGTTCTGTCCCCAGTTAAAAATAACTCCATCAAGCATTTTTTCATGCAGTTAAGAAGAGGATCTTTCAAACAATACAGAGTTTGTTTTAGAGAAACATTTCTCGGTTTGGATTTTTCAGTCTTTCTTTGTCTTGGAATGAGACATCAGAAAGTCTATCCCGGAACAAACGCTGTGGTGTTTGTGATGATTTCATTGACTGTGGTTCCAGAAGAATCATCAGGAACAGAACAAGTTTGTCCTGAGTAAGGCATTTTGATTTTTTATTTTGGAATTCTTAAGTATGTTTGAGAAAATCAGTGTCATCTCAAGAAAGGTTAAAAAGGTTAGCTAAGAGAAAATTTTGTTCTGCTAATAATTTTCCTTAGAGCCATAACTAAAAGATCCAAGTGCTTTTTCGTCGCTATTAAGGGTGGCTTCATTTGTTATAAAACCTGAGGTGGCATTATTTATCTTGATAAATTATAAAATGTCTCCTTTTCCTGTGAGTCCTCCCCTTCCCCTACCCCATTCGTCTTATATCGAGTTTTGATAAGTAGACTATCACTGTAAGTAGAAAATGAAGGGTCAGAAGCAGTGGTTTATGCCTGCAATCCCAGCACTTTGGGAGGCCAAGGTGGGAGGATCCCTTGAGTCCAAGAGTTCAAAACTAGCCTGGGTGACATGGCAAAATTCTGTCTTTACAAAAAAAAAAATATATTAGACATCTAATTATCTAACTAGGGCAATTGTTGATAGCTCTTTTCTATATGTTGCCAAAATTTGAGAAAACCTGACCAAAAAAAAAAGGGTTGCTGGGTTTCTATTGCTATTCAAATTGTCATCTTGATAAAAATCAAAAAGGCTACCTGCCACTGTTCAGCTTGATTCTTTTAAATATTGGAAGGAAAACCCAAGGTTTTACAAGCCACAGTGCTAAAAACAAATAAGATTCATATGCCAATAGCAACAATAGTTTGCCATTCTGTTTCCTCCAAATGTGCATTAAAGTGGGACACCTGCCATATAGTACTGTGTAGGGAGAAGCAAATAAAATCAAATTCTCAAAAATGAAAACCGAAAGGCTAGGACTCTAACACGTCACCTGTGATCTTTCTCTTTCAGTAGGCTTGATCCTCTTTCCCTCCATGACATTTCCTTAACACCTTTACTGAGATATCATTCACATTCCATAAAACCTATTTAAAGTGTACACTTCAATGGTATTTGGTATATTACTTTATTGGAGTTTTTAAAAATTGTAGTAAAATACATATAAAGTGTATTATTTTAACCATTTTAAGGGTATAATTCAGTGGTTTAATTACATTCACGATGTTTTACAACCATCACCTTTATATATTTCCAGAATGTTTTCATCACTCCAAACAGAAACTCTGTATACCCCATCTCCATCACATTTTCTTTCCTCTGTAAGAGACACCTAACATTTCCTTGGTAATGTCTTCATTTTTCTACATTTTTGTGATTACTTTTTTGCTTTTGTTTCTGTTTTACATTTTTAGTATTTTAGAACGTCAAAAATAAAAAGGATTTTTCATAATTTGGATACAAGTACAGAGGGGTATGCACATGGGTTACAGGATGGTGATAGAACTGGTGGAATTTCAAGACAGGAAATACCAGTTGAATGAAAATCTTAGTAAACAAGACACAGAAAGCATTTCATTCTGGAACTTGAGTTTTGTGCTGATTTTCAATCTCTTGAAGTACTTTAAGGTTTAATCAACATTTTCCATGCCTCCCAAATCTGATCACGGAAGTTTAAACATAATGGAGGTATGAAAACAAAATGCCATTTGGGAACTGAACTCCCAAACAAATTCACCTTGTTTACCAGCACTTAAGATCCTAAGGCCTCTGGGTAGATTTGTTTGAGGTTAAGTGTCAATCAGATAAGTAAGTGGTGTTGACCTCAAAGTGTCTGGATGCCAGAGTGGATCTCCCTTGGACACCCTGACTTTGGCAGAAACAAAGAAAGCACCAAGGCCATGCCTGTGTTCCATATGGCCTTCTAATTGTTAATGTCATAGACCCAGTCCTTCCATTGCTTCTCTAGCAGGATCCATGTCAAAGGACCACATATTACATGAGTAGTATTTAAAGAATGGACCAAATGACTGAGGCTAGGAAACTCTTTCATTATCTTGCATCTCTTCTACTCTTTTTTGTTTGTTTGTTTGTTTGTTTGTTTGTTTGTTTTTGAGATGGAGTCTCACTCTGCCTCCCAGGCTGGGGCACAGTAACGCAGTCTTGGCTCAATGCAACCTCTGCCTCCCAGGTTTATGTGATTCTCCTGCTTCAGCCTCCCGAGTAGCTGGGATTACAAGCATACGCCACCACAACCAGCTAAGTTTTTGTATTTTTAGTAGAGACAGGGTTTCACCATGTTGTCCAGGCTGGTCTCAAACTCCTGACCTGAGATGATCTGCCCGCCACAGCCTCCCAAACTGCTGGGATTAGAGGCATGAGCCACCACACCCGGCCACTTCTAGTCTTTTTGACTGACTAGTGAAATAAAATACAACTCAGATGAGTGATATTGATAAAATGTAGTTGGTACATTCTGATTTTATTCTTACTCAATTATTCTCACCTACCCAAACAACACTGTACTAGAAAAGCAAACTCACCTTTATAAACATTAGAAACACCCAGATGCTTTATTAAACTAGTGCATAGTAGCTAGCACACGCATTAATACATGCACAATATTCCTAAGGAAAACACATTATTTTCATGGTAATCTATAACTATTCAAGCCACCTTGACAAGTTAGGCAACTAATTAGGAATTGACTACACTGGAGATAAAAGGGTTTAACAAAGAATTTACTCAAAACAACCCAGATACTTACTGATGCTTCAGTATCATTGATTTACGGTTAACAAACATCTTTTATAAAGTAAATTACATGGTTTCAAGAAGAAACACAAATGGCGAATAACCGTGTTTCCTATCATCTGTGACAATGGGATACTATTATCAAGTATTATTGTCATGGTCCTTGGGAGTACTATGGATGTCTCAGTTCAGTTCCCAGCCTGGCCCTTGCAGTGGACTCAGCAACTGGATCTAACTATGAGAACCAAGGTTGGAGCCAAAGTTCCTAAAACTGACATAGCTCAAGAAATTTATGAGCACTTTCAGTACATGAAATAGTATTTTAGGACTGTGAAAAAACATAAGTAATCACTGCTTTCTAATAGATACAATAATTCAAATTTTAGCAAGGTCAAACTTTACTTTTTGCCTGTAATAAACCTTTATGAGTTTGTAAACAAATCACAAATTTGGTTTTTTTTTTAATTTAGGATTATACTCCTAGCATTTGTTTTGTAACACTAATGAAGGAAAAAGACAATGCAAACAATTTCAACATCACTATTTTGAGTTTTGGTATGATTACATTTATTTCAAAGGTGTGTGTGAGAGAGAGAGAGAGAGAAACAGAGAGAGAGAGAGATTGAAAAGTTCTGGAGGCCAGGTGCAGTGGCTCACACCTGTAATCACAGCACTTTGGGAGGCCAAGGCAAGCAGATCGCTTGAGGCCAGGCATTTGAGACCAGCCTGGACAACATGGCAAAACCCCATCTCTACAAAAAATACAAAAATTAGCCAGGCATGGTGGCAGGTTCCTGTAAAGCTGAGACAAGAGAATTGCTTGAACCCAAGACGCAGAGGTTTCAGTGAGCCTAGATTGTGCCACTGCACCTCCAGCCTGGGCAACAAAGATAGACTGCCTTAAAAAAAAAAAAAAAAAAAGTCCTGGGAATTCAGAGCAAGAAAAGTAGGAAAATTACAATAATATTAGTTTCCATGATTAAAAGATGTTTTCAAAAGCTGATTTGTGAAGTGTGTGACCTGTACCACATTATATATCCTTATTCTGTGCATTCATCAAAATCATTTTGAAGACTTTTGTACATTACAGGAGGGGAGTAGTGGTCATTTAATGAAAGACTTGAAAGAGTGGGTAAGAACCCTCACACAAACTAGAAAGATACTCAGGAACTATCAGGGGCACTACGGTTTCTTTCCTGAATGTTCTATCAGATAATACACAGGTGTTATATAGTAAAGGGGTTGTTTCCCCTTCTAAAAGATCACCTTTATCCTCAAGGTCCTTCTGTGCACATTTTGCAGAATTTCCTTTTTAAAGGCTGAGTAGTATTCCACTGTATGTCTATGCAAACTCTGTTTATCTGTTCATCTGTCAATGGACATCTGGGTTGTTTGCACATCTTGGCTATTGTGAGTAGTGCTGCAATGAATATATAAATGTTAATGTCTCTTCAAGATTCTGATTTCATTTCTTTTGGACAAATATTCTGTAGTGGGATTGCTGATTCATTTGTTAGTTCTATTTTTAATTTTTTTAGGAAGTCCCATACTGTTTTCCATAGCAGCCACACCATTTTGCATTCTCACCAACAGTGTACAAGGGTTCTGGTTTCTCCACACCCTCACCAACACTTGTCTTTTTGTTTTCTCATAATAGCTGTCCTGGCAGTTGTGAGGTGAAATCTCATTGTGGTTTGGATTTTCATTTCTCTGATGACTAGTGACATTGTGCATTTTTTAATACACCTGTTAGTCATTTGTATGTCTGCTTTAAAGAAATGTCTATTCTAGTCCTTAGTCCATTTTTAATTGGGTTATCAAGTGTTTTTTGCTTTTGAATTGTTGGAGTTCCTTAAATATTTTGGAAATTAACCCTTTATCAGCTACATGGTTTGCAAATATTTTCTCCACTCTATAGGTTGCCATTTTACTCTGCTGATAAGTGGAATAAGTCAATCACAGAAAGACAAATACTACATTATTCCACTTATGAGGTATCTAAAATAGTCAACTTCACAGAATTAAAGAATGGAATAGTGGTTGCCAGGGGATGGGGGAGAGGAAATGGGGATTTAAATCAATGG